AAGGAGAAGGTTGAACTTCCATATTCGACGCCATATTGGATTTGCCTTAATCTGCCGAGCACCGCGCGTGGATGTTTTTTAGTGACCCGTCCAGCTCCACCCACCAATCTCGAACGCGCACCTCTCCCATATCTGCCCCCTGGGTCTCGTTCATACAACGCACCATTTTATATTAGATCTGTTTATGTAAACACGGGTATGACGTCACGTAATATTTGGCATTTTGTAGGCTTTATTTTATAAAAGAATTAGAAAATGGCCGCTTTATCCGCGAATGCAAATGATGCAAATGGCAGAAATCAAAAGTCCTTATAGCTTACGGTATCCGAGCCAGGCGAGCGTTTACATAAACTTTCGGATTCTCCAAACTCACTCTCTTGTTTACATCCGGTCTATGTAAGCACGCGCACCATTTTCTATTTCTTTACAATGACAAATCACTAATTTATGTGCTCGCTAAATTGTATGTAAAAATTGGGTAGAATATTTTAGTTGAGATCTCCGAAATCTCTTGAAAAAGAAGAAAATTCGCTAAAATGATAAATTTGGTAATTAGCTGCTATCAGGAGCATATCACCCCGGAGCCTCTATCTCTACTGATTTTAAAATGACAACAGCGTAGTTACACCTTCGGCTATTTTTAGAATCATTCTCCTGCGAAAAGATTTCCGTGTACGTCCGCGGACAATAGTGATAATTCGTAATAACGATATTCCACCGTTCTAGTTTTATTCCACGTTCCTCTCGTCAATTCCTGGTTTTATTTTTGTAGCGAAACATGAATGACAACCTCGTCCTCGTTCTCGCAACGGTGATTTTTGCGGCAAAAGTGACTCTAAAAATAGCTCAAGGTGTAACTACGCCGTGTCATAGGCCCAATAAGGGAGATGGAGGCTCCAGGGTGATATGCTCCTGCTGCTATATACCAGCTGCTAAAATTTCTTAGCGAGTCTCAAAGTTTTTCCAGAGAAATAATAAAGTGTACGGTATTGGCTGGCGCCAGGAGGTTTTCGGTTTTCGCCCGGTGATTCTGGCCTCTCGCTCCCTTCTTTCCGAAGGGAAAGAAGAATTGCTCATAGTCCTGAAATTTCCAAGGTGATTACGTCATCAGTGCGTCATGATAACGGTTGTGTAATGTGCCTCAAATATTTCTTTCAGTATATGTCAGAAAAGGCCAAGTCATCAACTACCACTATTCTATGTACCTTTGTTTTTTTCTCACATGCCAGTATGTACATTGGTTACTGCTGGTTTTATGCCTGTGTCATTCTTTGGTATATACAACACCTACCTCCCCCCCCCCCCCCCCCCTTATTTTTTTGGCTCTTGCTTAGCTTTTAAGTGTTTGCTGTTGTAAGTAGTGCTAGTGTAAGTTGTAAATTAGTATTATTTTGTATTCTGTGTACTACTACTAAGTTAGAGTATTGTAAGTAAAAGTAATTTAAGTAAAAGTATTGTAAGTAGGAATATTGTAAGTAAGAGTATTGTAAGTAAGAGTAATATAAGTAGTCTATAGTTTATAATTTAATATCTTTGTGTAAGTAGTGTTGTGAGTTGTCAATGAAAAAATTTAAGGAAAAACTGTAACTATTTTTAATTCTAAGAAATCTTTTAGGCATGACCCACTAACCACTGCTTCAGTCGATAACGCTCTGCAGATAGTTTTGTTTTCTATCTCGGCTCGCCTTGATTATGGCGTAGGACGTATTTAAGTTCGCCGGCTTACGAAACATTGCATGGCGTTAAAGGGACACTGTCCTGATTTTAGCATGATTTTGCGAAGCTCAGAAACATACCTAGATCATAGGAAGTTGAACAATAATGGTTCAATTATGTAGAATAGCACTCGACAAATGACAGGAACCCATTAGGAAGTGAGGATGACAAACGACAGCGAGGATGGAAATGGATTGCAATATGGAGTTTTGAAAAAACATCAGGATGTCAGTTTTTCAAAGTTTCAAATTTGGCTCAGAAATCTTTGAAATTTTGCAAACATTTTGTTGCAGTATGGAATTTCTTGAAGAAATTGCTTTTTATCATTTAGTTAGAGTTTATTAAGTTCTTATTTCATAAATTTAGGGACCATTTCATGCATTTATAACAGTTTTGAGCAAATACGCCGGGACAGTGTCCCTTTAAGTCAGACAATCTGATCTATATGCGTGAAATATATATATTTATTATACGACATAGCATTTTAGAGTGCGAATACGCACAAAGACGAGCGCAGATATGAGACCGTATTACATGGTTCTCAGTCCTACTGACCGCGCGCTACGGAAAACACTGTTGAAAGCCTATATTTTAGGAAAGATATTATGTCGTATAATAAACAATTTATTCAGCGGAAAGTTGTGTAATACGGCTGGGAATTTTTACTCGTCAGTGTTTATTTTTTCTCGCCTAAAGGCTCGAAAAAATAAAAACTGACTCGTAAAAATACCCAGCCGTATTACACAACTTTCCGCTGAATAACCTCTATTTACACGTCATTTTTCAAGTTTAGCCTATATATTTATGCCTATGACACAGGCAAGCGGATCAATGAAAGTGAAATCACGAGCTATGACGAACATGATTATCAGCGTGAAGCCGAATAAAGTTATATACTCGGCCACACTCGGCTTTCAAAGTTCAGTGATCGAAGAATTCAGCGAGAATTCACGGTATCTTGAAACAGTTCGGATAACATTTTCATCGCTACTGAATTGTACCGACTCAGTACAGTGACCGGTGATCGATGGCAGAGGCTCAACCTCCCTCAAATGAATGCGCAACGTGTCAGACGAAAACTTCACTGGTAAGAAAAATATATATTTATTATTATTCAGTGTTTTCAGCCACTTAAAAGCCAAATTTACACGGTATTGGATAAATTAAAAATGAAAATCTTAGCTACTGTTTGTACCATTCATTCCTCGTATGTAGAATTAATACGACTGATCGTCGTGCATCGTGCTGTTCCGATTCATTTTCACGGTCTAAAATGGTCATCATTATTAGAGTTTTACCGGTACCTTTTAGGGTGTTTATTAAATAAGCCGGAAAAATATATGACGGTAACTACTTGTTAGAAAAGAAGGTATTCGAAGCAATTACTTTTAGTGCTGCTAAAAATCATTCAGTTAATGTTTCGTTATGGTATTGGTACATTTTTGGGTCTAAAATCCGAATTCGCACCACGATAATACGAGATTCTAGTTCCTTTTTTGGATTTCCTTTCAAAATTTACGACGATCAATCCAGTTGCTTTTACTGATAGGAGTCCCCAGTCACCAGACTCTGCTCTTTCGGGTAGGTAAATCTAGACTACGAGTCGGTGCCTACTTTTTCTCAGATCGAGCGGGCGAGCGCGCGCGCGAAGCGTGTGGAACCCGCTCGATCTGAGAAAAAATAGGGACTACTCGTAGTCTAGGGTAAATCCAAAATGGGGGACAAAGGCAACGCCGAGAAAATCCTGGGAACGCGGTTGGGAGTCCCCACCCATCTAAATCGTGCGGATCAACCAATAGTCGGTTGGAATAGAACATGACTTTTAACGATTATGACATGATAGGCCCTCTTTTTTTTCAGATAATCACTTGTAAGAGCGGACAACACACTTTCTGCCAGCATTGCGTGACAATCTGCCTTGAGTCACGCACAACAGTAGAGAATGCGCAAGCTGGGTTGCTACAAGTAAAAACGGAATTAATACACTGCCCTTTGGTGGAGGCATGTTGGTCGCAACTTGAATCCTGCCTTGTGCACGACATTGTGGATCATATAACCGAGACACGAAAAGAGAATATTGCGAGAAAGCTACGGCGCACAAATTCTGTCATTCCCTGTCCAAACGAGAATTGTACCTTCGCGTTTTATCAACCCGAAGAAAACAGTTTTCCAAACCCTCTTCATATCGTGTCCGAAATGTCATCAAGAATACTGCCTTACGTGCAAAAACCGTCTCAGCCCTCAAGGCTATTTTGACCATGTCTGTCCGGTGGTGATAGCCAACGATATCAGTGGTGACAGCGACGCTCAAGTGAAATTACGTGAAGTACTTACTGAGGCTTTTTCGATACGTTGTCCCAGCAATCAGTGCAACGTGCCTGACCGAGTGGGGAAGCTCGCAGTCAAGGAGCCTGGGGATTGTAACGCCATCAAGTGTGACAGGTGCTTGCGATTCTTCTGTTTCATTTGCTCAACAAACTTGGGGACAAAAAGGCAAGAGGCACATAATGCATTTCCGCACAGGTAAAGTCTGAAACAAGCATGTGATATGATTCTACTTTTTTTTCGAGGGGTATGGTGAGGGAGGGGGGGGGGGGGGGGGGGTGGGAAGAAGGATATTTAGAGATGGATGACGTGTATTACTCTAGAAACTCTTCTTTTTGAGGAGCTGATCAAAACATTTTGCCCGCGGTAACTCAGACGGAAAAAAAAAAAAAAAAAAAAAAAAAACTCAGACGGCGGAAAGTATCTTAAACCGGTGCATAGTATACGGCTCCTCAGACATCCACACTTTCCTCTATCTTCTTAGAATGACCAAGCATATCGAAAGCGCGGGAAAAAGGTAACTGACTGGATTTAACCAGGCATAGCAAGGCAGCACTGGATAACATTTAACAAGCTCGGGATAAGTTGCAAGCGCGGGAAAATATGTAGCCGATGGAAAGCGCGGGAAAATGTTGAACTAGTTTTAAGCGCGGGAAAACATGTAACCAATGGAAAGCGCGGCGTGAGAACTTGTAGCCTGCGGTAAGCGCGGGAAAACATGTAGCTAGTGGGAAAAATGTGTCAGCCCAAATCGTGATTGTTTTGCATTTAGAACTCGGCTCCAACTGAACTATACGACTGCATAATATATTTGAATGTACTTGCGCAACGTACTGTAAAATCCTTTGTGTCGTACTTCCATGCTGTAGTCGTAAAAAACGTTTGTAAAAGCAAATTAGTCACTGAGGAGAAAGATATTATTCAGTCAGTGACACAAGCTACTCGGAAAAAATTCCGAGTTCCCTCAACAGGAGAACCTATGACCTTCCGCATACCGGTCGGATGCTCTACCACTGAGCTACAGCAGGAGTTTAGACCATGTAACTAGCTTCAAATGTGACAAAAATCCCGCATACTGCTAGGATTAGATTTGTCGATGAGTGAGAATATGTGGAAATAAATTATGGTGCATTTATTTCCAAATTAGGTCATCCCCATAAAATGTTTGTTTCCATCGCCCTCTCTCTCTCGTGAAAGTGGGTCGGTCGGTCGGTTAAAAACAAAAAAGAAGAAAAGCCGAGAAACGAAATATTGACAAATTATACATAAATAATTCCAAGAGAGCCTTGATTATATCTCCCCCGTGACCACCATTTTGCAACGAGCCGATATCACTCTGAAAGGAGTTCGAAGACGTCATTACTGGGCTGATTTAGATGTCAGAGTGACTTTAAGATGTAAACAAAGCAAATTAAACTTGGAAACACCCGAGAAAAGGGCGCAGGCAATGAATCACGGCAGAAACATTTTTTTTAAACTTTTTGAAAAAATTGGGTCGGTCGGGCGATGGGAAACAAAGCATTTTATGGGGATGGCCTTAGTCATACTATATAATATCCTTATTTATAACGTTCTGTCGCAGAAATGCTAACATGGCAGATGCACCACGTTGTTGGCTTTTCGATGATGCCGCCGAGCAGGGAAAGACTGAAGAGAGAGCCTTACAGATCCGTCAAGTGATTGCTGTGACTAACTACATGTCCGCACTTGGAATGAGCGACGAGAGAAGAGAAACTGTATTGGATCAACATCGGGAGCTGTTGGGCCAGGATATATTCACTTACTTGACAAAGAGAAACCCACTGAAAAGAGGTGATAAATCATGTGCTCTCATGTAAATGGGATCGATGGACACGCGAGCGAGAATTTCAGTATTTATGTACTATAGTTAATAAATTATTATCATTACAGTCGAAGCTCTCTGAGCGGACACCCTCGGGAAGCAGAAAAAGCGTTCGCAACTGGAGCTGGCCGCTTACGGGAATGTGTAAATACAGGTATGAGCTAGAGTCCAAACAGGGTTTTGTCAAGGCGGCCGTAATTAGAGCTATCTGCTTACGAGAGTGTCCGTTCAGAGAGCTTCGACTGTATTAGTGATGTAAATAAAAGAAAGAGACTGCTCGCAGTCTGGAATATTGCTCAACGAAACATTTCAAAGGTGAATATTAAAGAAACTAAGTCATGGATAGGATGGTCTCAATCTAACCCAGACATAGTGTTCCTTTTAGTCTTTCGTGCTTTTTTAAATAAATGAATAAATAAATCGACTTTATCAAGAGAGGATGATCTAAAAGAAGGATCCTCTGCTCAGCTATCGGCCTGGAGCCGGAAGAGGAGGAATCCTTCTCTTAGATCATCCTCTCTTGACTTTGTTTAACGAGGGTGGCACTTGCGGCCCTCAGATTCCAGATTGAACAGTGGGGGGGGGGGGGGGGGGGGGATCTTCGGAGATCACAGAATGCGAACATAAACAAATATTGCACTTTGTTATGCTGCTGTACAATTTAAAGGCACAAATAAATTATATTTTATTTATTTTTCACTGTATATCATTATATATTTCTAACATATTCTATATTACTGTTGTCGAGCACTTTTATCATGAGCCCCTGGCTCGGGAGAATGGGCAACCACTCCCTGTGTAACGACTTTAAATAAAGTATTGATGTTATTATTGTTATTGTTATTGTTGTTGTCGTTAAAGGACTTTAGGAAGTCTAAATATCAATATGTCAAGAAGGGAGCCGAATATAGGCTCGATTTCAACCGCTGTCTCGAGTTCGGTCTTCGTTCCTCCCCGCGTGGGCTCATTTTCCCGAACAGCGGCTGCAACCTCGTTCCCAGGGCTTTTCCCTTCTAAATTTTGCGGGTCGGGAGGGAAAAGCCCTGGGAACGAGGTTGCAGCGGCTGGTAATCGAGCCTAAGCCGAATATGCATAGAGAATTATGCCCGGAGAAGGAATTATTTTAAATTAAAGAACGTTTGATCGGGTGAATCCGAAATTGCTTTTTACTATTCTTTTCACGAAATACCCGCGCTCTCGCGCCGCCAAATAGCACCATTATGCAGCTGTTTCGAGAAAGGTTGTCGGAAAAAAGCGCACGCGACAATCCCGAAAGGTAATCTGGGATATGATCAGCAAGGTACGTTCCTGACACTGTAGCTGTCGAACCTACTTTTGTTGCTTTCTTTTAGCACTCGCAAACATACGTCCATGGCGTCTCGTGCCATTTTCTCAGATTTCGCTGAAATGCTGAAGTCAAGGAACCGTGAACTTAAAACTACCCACAATACCTTTCGGGATTGTCGCGTGCGCTTTTTCCGACAACCTTCTCGAAACAGCTGGTATGCAGGCATAAATCCCGATCTCCAGACCATAGTATTATGCTCTCAAAGAGTGAAATGATTTTTTACTCAATCATTACATCATACGGCTTGGTGGTATTTCACTTTCGACAAACAAAACAGGAAGTTCTACAATCTGTCTGTCAATCGCCTAAACAGCTCACCAAGGAAGCAAATTCTCCCATCCAGTACTGCAGAAATGTATGGAGAGCCGTATGGAGAATTTGAAAAAAACAAGAATTCACGTGCCGTGAACTTGATTGGGTTTCTTCTTGTCACTGAACATTGATGGTACTTATAGCCTGGTTCTTATACACCTTGTATCTCAAATGAACAACACGTGTGAAGCCCTTCACCGAAGTAATTTACTAGTTTAAAATATAATGTATAGCTTTTTAAAAAAAGCCTGGCCAAACGGCCGGAACTTGCGTACAAACTTGCGTTGGGTGGTCAAACGCAGTCGCAAGTTTACTCGCATACACGCAAGTTGCTAAAAAAATCATTTGAATACTCCTGCGTGCGCTGCAATTCAGTACTAGAAGTAAACAAAAAAACTTGCGTTGACTTGTGTTGGGTGGCCAAACGGTGAAAAACTTTCGTCTACTTGCGCGCAAATTTGATCTCATCAAATGAACGCAACTCATCGCAAGTCAACGCAATTACTCGCAAGTAGGCTGGTAATCGAGCCTAGGGGAACGTCCGACTGGCATTTTGTAGCAGACTACCTAGGGTTTCACAAAATCTACCCAGTATACTGTATCTCGAGAAAGACGCAATATATATCTTAAGTACTATTTTATTGATAGAGTTTTGAGCAGTTTTGAGCGAAAACGAAAAGGCTAACTATAACAATATGTAGAATGAAGGAAACACTGTGTTTTACTGGTTATTTATACTACTTGCTATTTTTAACCATTTCACCATATAAGGTCAAGAGAACACGTAAAATATGAGACGGTATTGACTAGTTGAACAGAGCGAATACGGAAAATAGCATAATAGTCGGTAAATTTTGCAGTAGAATAATAAATCCCTTATTCGATGGTTTAACATATAATACGACCGGACATTTTGCTCATTGCTCGCATTTTTCCTCGCGCTCGGAAAAATCAACTACGCAACTCGCAAAATATCCGCGCGTATTATATGTTAAACCATCAAATAAGGTGTATTTATTGAAAGAAATATTCTCAAAATACAAGCTTGGGTCGATATCCAGTGGTGTTACGCAAAACTCATGTCGAATGGACTCTAGAATTTAACTTATATTTCTTACAAAGTGATAAAACATAAATAACGAAATGTTTATGTTCAAATTAAATCGAAACCGCCTTTATTTTGTAAATTTGTAAAAGTCAGTTGAAGTTCACGAGGTGTACATACCATGGGCTTTCTTCCTGAATGTTATGTAGATGTTTATCCGCATGGCTTAGAAATTTCAACCATTCTTTAATTACTGTGTATTTTCATAAATAAATGAACAGGGAGGTTTAATAAAATACCATTGATGCATTGATGAATTGGTTTGAAAAGTGTACATCACAAATGGTGCGACCATCGAAGAGTATTTGCGCAAATTTAATTTCACGCCCTAGTGTATATCGATTAACTGATTTCATATTAAAAGCGGTAAATGTCCGTTGTGTGTTTACTTAAGTTTGAAAGCCGTATATAACCGGTAGAAAACGACGATACTTTTATATAAGAAAATTTAAAAGCCATGCAATGAAAGAACTGAGGTTATAACGCGCGAAGCAACTATGAAATTCACGAGTTAAGTCGTCTTTGTTGCAATTCTTGAAAGCTGTATCTAGTTCGACATTTTAACTGTATTACTTTATATATAAGCAAACATCCGCCGTTTCTCTAAATAATATTTGTAGTTCCTTTTGAATTGTTCATTGATTGAGTGACTTAAGTATTAAAATAGTTTTCGTGCGGTAAATTTAGAACTAACTGTTTAAAAAAACGCGGCGTCTCGTGACGAAATTAACCATTGCGGTTTTATTGTTTGAAAACCGCGTAAAACGAGCGAAGTTTAAATGTAGTCATAGGCCGTAAAACAATGAATTCAACTCTTCCAAAGTGACAAAACATTTTGAATGATGTAACAATGTTTTAATTACAGCAAGCGACGGTTTATTGACAAAAAAAGTGAGTTTTTGGTCAGCGCTAAGAGAACTTTGTAAACACGGGGATTGTTGGCTCATTGGCGGCATGGAGCCCAGCCGAACGTCAGGTAGCCGTGAATGCGATTAACAAGAAAACGTTTCTAATAACACAACCCGCCACATTAAAAACTAAATGAGCCCTTACGCACATTAATGCCATATTCTGGTATTGTTAGGATTCATTGTTAAGAAAGAAACTCCGGCGCTGTAGATTTGGTCGGCACAAAGGACGAAAATTAGCGAAGTTCAAGCCAGGCTTTTTTCACTACCGAAGCAGTAATTTCATTTTCACGAGAGCGATAACGAAGAAGTACAAACAGCGCGGGAAAAAGAAGGGAAGAAAAATGTCTCACTCCCTCGAACAAAGAGCGGAGAGAAGATTTGCGGAAATTTATTCACAATAGTCTTATCGACTATACACGTGTTGAGCTGAGAGACAACTTGGCTCAAATCGTCGATAACACATTATTAATCGAAATATCTAAAAGTATCTGAATTCTTTACTGACAACGC